TGATACACATTTTCTTATTTGGGGGCATTGCCTCTTGGTTGTTCCCCTGTGGGTTTGTGGCACACATTTGTACCTGGTTCTGTCTTCCTCAGTTTCTTGTTAAAGAAAGTATTCAAATTTCTGACCTTGGTTAACACTGAAATTTGAATATTCTTCTTTTGTTTAGGTGAGTATGTGGCTTTGAGAGAGACTGAATACCCATCATGTATGGGTATAAGTGTAAGTATTTTCTAAGGGGAAATGTCTGCGTAGAAAGTACATTTTGGTCTGTTCCTTCAGTGGAAAAACTCTGTGTGACCAGGCCAGCATGCATGTTCCTATTATTATTTCATTTGTGTATTAGGAAACATGTTGTTGGAAAAACAGTTGATGGGTATCATAGATTAGTTCTGCCTGGTTATGCCTGAGTGTTCAAAAAACTGCAGTGTGTTAGATGTGAATCCAAAAAGCCATGCTGTGTTTGCTGTGCTGTGCAGTTCACATAGATATAGTTACGGAAGTCTCTGTTCTAGAATTCTCTTTAAGCAGTGCCATGTTCTCAAATTGGACACACTTTACTAGTAATACAAAAAAATACTTTGTCTTTAACAAATTTCTTATGAGGTGAATATTTCTGTGTGCCATTGTTTTTGAGTAATGAACTGAATTTGGGTTGAAATGAGCTGTCCTGACTTAAGAGTGCAAAAAAAAAAAAAAAATTAGGCTGAAGATCCAACTTGTGTTCTCTTGTAAAATTCTTTGTGATCTGCAATACACCATAAATGCAGGAGACTCTTGTAAGTCAGTGTTTGGATGAGTCTAGAGTGTATTGATGTGTGGAAAAATCAACATTAAGTGAGTGAAGGGCTTTTAAGAAGCCTATTATAACCACTTATAATGGAAAATGTAGTTCCCATTAGAGTTTGATTTAAGGAGCTTTGGTTCTTCACTGAAGCATGAAAGCTGCTGTGTGATGCTCTGTGCAAATCATTTTTATAGCATCTACTGCCTACCTCTTTCTGGTTAATCTGCTCCTGTGTTTAGAGTAGAAAGGACTGAATCTGCCTTGTTTAAGGAATTAATTCATAGAAACTTAAAAGAAACCATAGATTATCATATTTTCATTTATCTAATAGAATATTGAAAAATAAAATAAAAGCTTTACTTGGTCTAAGCAGACACAGCAGCACCAGTTGTTGATCTTAGGATCATGTAATCTGTTTCTCTTCTGCTTAGTTTTGTCAGTGTTTTTCTACTGGAATCAAATATTAGTTTCTGGCTCAGCTTGCAATATAAAAATGTACCAATTAGATTGTTATGACTTCATTTTTATTCATGAGGAGAAACTCAATAAACAGATCATTATGTGTTTTTGGCATGTAGGAGAAGAATTTCAAAATAAGCCACCTGGCCCCAGGCATGGTTGGGAGCCCTGGATTCTATTCCTTCAGGAATCTGAAACAAGCTGGCATGAGTCTACATTCCCCATCCTCAAGTAATTATTAATTTGAGAGGAATCCTTCCATTTTTTTTTTAGATTTTTATGAACCTTTATTTTCTTCATTTATTTATATGTGGTACTTAGAATTGAACCTACTGCCTCACAAATGCCAGGCAAGCACTCTGCCACTGAGTCACAACCCCAGCCCAAATCCTTCCATTTTTATCGATCTGCCATATAGTTGACCTTATCTCCAATTCTGAATGAATTTAGCTCTTATATGGATTTTCTATCTACTTTGGTGCCTGGTTTTTAGGGAAGTACAAGGAAATGGTGAGACTTGGTGGTGATGTTTGACTTCAAGGGAGCTAGGGTTTGGAGCTGAGGAGGCTAGGTGAAGTGACCTTGTCACACAGTGTGTGACACAGTGTGAGACACAGTGTGTGTGCCTCATGGGAACTGAGAAGTAACATGTGAAGTTCCTGATGAAGAGAGGGAAGAGCACATCAGTGGAGTTAGGCCTTCTGATAGATCTGGTTAGGAAAAGGAGGAGAACACGACTACCTCAAGCCTGCAGAAAGAGTAAGATAAAGGTTAAGAGTCCAGGAGGAGCCCAGTGGGTTCACCCCACAGTGAGAGACTCTTCTCCAGAGTCAGACMCTCAGCCACCATCTTTCCTTTTTCTTCTTTCTTTCATCATCCAAATTCTTGGATGAGTCTTAATTACCTCAACTAATTGTAGCATGGCTACCACACCCTCTGCCTCACAGATTGGAGGTCTTCAAGGACCCCCTCCCACAAAGGCCAGGTCCATTTGTTTTAACCTGCAGAGTCTGTGTTGAGGCACTAGAGGTTATAGATTCCACATTACTTTTTCTAGTTCATCTACAATTGCTTTCTGGCCCCAAAGGTTARTGAAAAACACTGAAATGTACACGAATTTAGATTAAAATCCCTGTTCCACTGAAGCTAGTGTTGTTGAATTAGGGAAATTAAGGCATCTCTCAGCTTTAGCTTGATGGAAATAAAGATATCTGAATCATCACGTGATTAGAAGAATTAATAGAGATAACATGGAGAGTATATTGAAATAAATGACATGGTAAACAGGCATCAGGGGCCCCCTTTCCCTGCCAGGTGACCACTCTGTCTTTCTTGCCTTTTGACTCCCATTCTGTTGATTCCATTCCCTCCTGCTGGAACTGCTTCTCTCTCTTCTTTACCTATTGAATTATCCTAACCACCTCGAAAGGTTGATTTTTGTYGCCTTAATCAAAGTTGAGCTTTGCATGTTCTAGATTCCCAGTTTTATTCATTGGCAAGCTCCAATTTACTACCCTACATTTTAGTTATTTGTCCATGTCTTTTTTTTCCACTGGGTGATAAGCTCCTTGATGGCAGAGCTATGTCAGGGACATAGTGATGGACAGTAAGAGCTGGGACTGTCTCCCATGGTTCCAYAAGGGTCTTGTGCACAACTGTCAAGCTCCCAGGATGATCTCATCTTTGTTTTTTTTTTTTTTTCCTTTTTTCCTAACTACAACCATATGCTGGTAAATTTTATTTTATTTTTCTCTTGCTCTCATTGCCCTCCTGTGCTTTTGATGTCATCAAATGTCTGGTGAATCATCTTGGGATGGCCATCCATAGGCACCTCAAAGKCAACATGCCAAAAATCGATTTCTCACCTTCTTCTGTCCCCTGATACCACACACAGTCTGCCCTCTTCTTGTKTATTGTATTTTTTTCTCTCCTCTCATATTCCACCTGGTCCCTGAAGCAGAGAGGTAGAGGGCCTTCTGGAAGTCTTTCCTTTCCTACCTTGTCTGTATGGAATGGGTCACCAAATTCCAACTCATTTGTCCCCAAAGTATTTCATGAATCCATTTCCCCTCTTTCTGGATTAGATACTGCTGCCTATGTTTGGGTCTTGCTCTCTTCACTAGTTTTACTGTGATTTCTTTCTAATCCATCTACTTCACCTTCTTCTTAATCCTTCAAGTCCATCTTCTAGCTCTGTATATGATTATGCCACATTCCCTCATGAAAACCCCATTGTATGTCATGAGCTGGCTCTGATCAGTTTGGTAATGGCTACTAGAAGTGCTGCTGTGGGGTTCAGCATGATCTCTCAGTAAGAGCCAATGGGTGCAATGAAGAGGCAGGTAGCACATGATATAGAGTTAGGGTTAAAGTCCTCTCTGACCTTGATCCTTCCCTGCCTTTACCTTCAGCTCCCACTGTTACTCCACTTCACAGTGGACCCTGGAGTAGCAGGGAACTATTGTGTTCTTATTCAAGACAGAGCTGGTTCCTCTGACCCTTACCTGGGAAGCCCACACTTACAACCTTAGTGTGTGTGTGACAAGGGCACAGAGTGGACCCTACATGAAGTTCAAGTATTCTTGTTTTAAATATTTGTGTTTTAAATTGTCAAAATGTGTATATTTATAATGTACCACATGATATTTTGAAATATGTACCTTGTGGCTAAAATGGAGCTAATTAAGTGTTTGTCCTATAGCTCTTGCCTGCTTCGCAACCTCATTGTCTTGAAATCCTATGTYTCCCTCATCAGACTGTGATTTCTTTTAGAGGACATATCTTGTCTCATTTACCCTTGAACACTGGGACTTACCATAGTACTTTTCATGTGATATGTACTGTGGATTAAATGGTGTATTATATTGAAATGAAAAAACAAATTTTAATTTTTAACTATAACTTTGCTTTTTTAAAATCTGAATTTGATTAGTGAACATATTTTTGCTTCAAGGAARAGGGAGACATTTTAGGAGTGTTAATGCTCTGCAGGAAATTTCATTTGGGGAAGCTGGTAGTAAGTAGACATTGGAAATTTTTGAGCAGGGGAATAGCATGATGAAAGTGGTATTTAAGGAAGATTGATCTGGAGACAACCTTTCATTATAGGTTTAAACCCTGCTGGCAAGCAGAGGTGAGGGTGTCAGGCAGCGGGGAGAGGCAGGCATAGAAAGCTATTCTGAAGAACAGCTTCTTAAGTCTTTGAACTTTCATTTCCACATTCGTTCAAATGGGATGTACTTGCTGGCATGTTACTGAAACTAAAATAGAATGCTGAAGTTATTTTATTTTTAAAGAAAAAACATTCTTGTAAACACCTAAGTGAGCCATTTTGCATAATTATATATGAGACATATTCATTATTAATTACTTGGAAATAGTGATTATGAATTCAATATTAAAAAATAATTTGCATCTGCACCACTAGACTATAATCTTCTACATCAGTGAAGGTTTTCATTTTGGACATTTTGAAATAAATTGTTAACTACGAGAAAAACAGTTTGGTTTTCCATAAGCATTTTGCTATGTGGCTTAACATCTCCTAATTATAGATGTGTGTGTGTGTGTGTGTGTGTGTGTGTGCACGTTTTCCCCCAATGGGCATTTTCATTTTACATTTGGCTCATGTGACTCTGTTCCTGGTTAAAGTTTATCCTTCATTTGTTTTGGCCATGTAACTCTCCTGTGCTTTATTCTTCATATTGGCCATTATAAACTTTTAAATTTATAGTTGCTTTGTTATTTTTTATTACAGGGCTATGACTTATTGATTAAATCAAAGGATTTTCCAAATATTTTGCACTTTCATTGTGTATTATGGATACCAAGGAAGAGAAGAAGGAACGGAAACAAAGTTACTTTGCTCGGTAAGCATTCTTTTGCAAAATTATATCAGTGCTTTAAAAACAAAATATTCATGTTCTGAGACTGTTTATAAGCAGAGCAAGTAACTAGTGGAAATTAAAATACTTACTTTGTCCTTTTTAAATTAATAGTAGAGGAATAACATTTGGTCCTTCTTTTTCTGTCTTCGGTAGTTCTTTCAGGCTAGTGGTGCTCAGGGACTGCAGCTGGCCTGCAGATTGCTCTGAACMCCGTGTTTAGAAACACACCTCGAATTTCAGTCCATCATATGCTCAGTTCTTGCTGTTCTGTAGCTTAATTGGTTGAGCTATAAGTAAAAATTATGTCATATTGAAAGCTTACCACCTTGTGGGGAGGTCAGGACTAAAAAAGTATTTTTGTAGGTAAGTTGAATGGCTGAAATGATATCATTAGTGACCAGATAATTTTTAAGGATTGAGCTTGTCCAGCATACAAACATTTCTTGTTATCCAAATAGTAGTTATCTAGTGTATGACAGGCTATGATTTATAGATTTAAACATCTATATGCAGCCACTCAATAATCAGAATAAAATAAACAAAATATTAAAACATTTAGAAATCATTTTAGTAGTCAGAATGCAAAAGTTTTTTGTTGATGTATTTATCTAGAAATTAAGCTGGATTTTAGATTGTTAATAGGAAAATGAGGAAAACAATTTAAGGATTTGCTATGTATAAGTGTTTTATTTATTTATACTCGAAATAAACCTATGACATAGATTACTTTATCTCCATTTTATCAGTGAGTTAACTAAGATTCAGAAAGTAAGCATTCTTCTATAAATTTCATATAGCCTAAGAATCAGTATTCAAACAGAGGGCTGTCTCCAATGGGTGTGCCCCAATGAAAAATAAGAAATCATAAATAAGAAGTGTAGGAATCCAAAAGTCAAACTACTTATTATAGCAAAATGTTTTCCATTATCTCGACTATAGAAAGTAACAAGATTGGAGAAAGAAGAAATCAGGCATGTGATAGATGAGACATTAGGAGAATGGGATATTTARAATAAAAAGAACTATATAACTTTTTATGTTGAGATAATTGTTCACATGTAATTGTAAGGATTATTAGAGAGATATCTCATATCCTTCATTCAGTTTCCCCAGTGAAAAGATCTTGCAATATAATGTGATAATGTGATATAATATCACAACTAGAAATTTGATATTAATACAGTCTACCAACTCTATTCAGATTTCACCAGGTTTATAGGCACTCATTGTGTGTCTTTGTACATATTTAGTTCTATGCAGTTTGTGGGGGGAGTGAGTGGTTATAGGGATTGAACTCATGGGTACTCGACCACTGAGCCACATCCCTAACCCTGTTTTGTATTTTATTTAGAGACAAGTCTCAGTGAGTTGCTTAGTGCTTCACTTTTCTAAGGCTGGCTTTGAACTTTCTATCCTCCTGCTTCAGCCTCCAGAGCTGCTGGGATTACAGGCATGCGCCACCATGCCCAGTTATGCATTTTTATCACATGTGTAGACTTGTGTTTTACCATAACAGCCAAGACACAGAGCAGTTCCAAAAACAGTATCCCATGTACTACCCTKTTGTAGCCATATTCACCTCCCTCCCTCTACCTGACACCCCCTACGACTGCCAGTTTGTTCTCAATCTCTGTAACTTGATAAATCAGGTTACATATTCCATATTGCATGAATGGACTCATATCATAAATAACCTTTGGTATTAGGCTTTCTCAGTCTGTAGTTTACTTGAGATCCATCCAAGCTGCTGGATGTATCAAGAGTTTGTTCCTTTGTATTGCTAAGTAGTGTTCCATGGTAAGGTTGTATTACAGCTTTTTCATCATTCTTCCATTGAAGAACACTGGGTCTTTTCCAGCTTTGTAACAAACAAAGCTGCTTAAGATGAGTGTGCAAGTTTTTGTGTGAATATAACATTTTCATTTCCCAGGAATAAATGCCCAAAAGTATAATTGCTGGATCAAATGATAAGTATATGTTTGATTTTGTAAGAAACTGCCATACTCTTTTCCAGAATAGTTGGAACATTTGACATTCCCTTCAGCAATGTATGAGTTATCTAGTTTCTCTGTTACCAGTATTTGGTAGTAAGACTATTTTAATTTCAGTCATTCTGATGATGTAGTAATATCTTATTATGGTTTTAGTTGTATTTCTGTAATGACTAATAAAGTTAAATATATATYATCAAGTGTTTACTAGCCATCTGTATATCTTCTTCAGTAGAAATTTCTTTTCAAGTCCTTTGTAGTTGAAGTTTTTACTGCTGAATTTTGAGAGTTCTTTATAATATTCTAGATATTAGCCCTTTGTCAGCTATGTGGTCTGTAAATATTTCTCCTGGTCTGAAGTTTATTTTTTCATCTTATTAATTGAGTCTTTTGCAGAACAAAAAGTTTTAATTTGATATGGTTCAATTTATTAATTCCCCCATTTATGATTGTTTTTGGTGTCATATATATTTCTTTGCCTAGCTCCAGGTTCTAAAGATTTTTCCCTAAAAGTTTTTTTTTTAATTTTTAAAAAATATTTATTTTTTAGTTGTACTTGGACACAATACCTTTATTTTATTTATTGATTTTTATCTGGTGCTGAGGATTGAACCCAAGATCTGGCACATGCTAGGTGAGTGCTCTGCCGCTGAGCCACAACCCCAGCCCCCTAAAAGTTTTATAATATTTTGTTTTATATCTAAGTTTATAATCCATCTTGAGATAATTTTGGGGTGAATTTAGGTCAAAGTTATTTTCTTCCTATTCTTCTCTCTCTCTCTCTCTCTCTCTCTCTTTTTTCCTATAGATGCCCTTCATAGTGATTTTTAAAAACTGTTGTGCTTTCCCAGTTTGAATTGAAAATAAGTTTAAAGCTTCCCATAGAAAGGGTTACTGGTGGTTCACTAATAACCTGCTCTATGTTAAGTTTTTCTTGTCCCTAAAATGTACAATAAGGGAAGAACCTAAATTGAGAATACAAACCAAAACTCTTCTGGAAAACAGCAGAGTTTTTTTTGTTTTTTTTTTTTCAGCTCAGGAAAGTCAAATTTATTTGTTGGACTTACTGTGACCTCTTTTGACAAGTATTCTAACAATAAAAAAAAAACATTTAAAAAATGCTTAAGTGTGACCTTGGGAATATARGAACATATCAACAAGGACAAAAATTAGTGCTGAGAGTCAACACAATTTGTCCCTATGAAATAAAAGAGTGAGAGCAAAGGAGAGAGAAAAGGAGAGAGACCAACAAACCCTGGGCTCAATCCCTCAACAAAGAGGAGGACCAGAGATGGATGGTTTAGCTGTGGAATGGAAGCCAGAAATGGTCAAACTAGTAAAAGCAAAAACAAACAAAGAAAAACATCATCAAAGAAGAAGCAAAGTTATAAATCTTTTCAAATGCCTTCTRATGAAACTGGAATTATCATAGAATCAATAGGGGAATTATCAATGGAATTTACTTGAGAGCCAGTTTCTTACAACATAGGGCATATTTTTCTAGAGCAGTGTACCTGAGGGCAGTCCAAGGAAGTTCCCTGGAGTGAAATGTTAAGTCAGGCCAAGGGTAATTGATGCAATCAGTTTTCTCTAAACTAAATTGCACCACCTTACACAAATCTCTCCTGGTGTTCAGAGGAAATCCAAATGAAGATTTTGCAGAGGCATGTTACCACAATTATGTATCTGAAATCCTAAAATTGCTTTTAAACTCTTTTCTTTCTTCCCCCTTCCCTATTTTCTTCCTGTTTTAGTCAGTTTTTCATCATTGTGATAAATACCTAAGAAAACTAACTTAGAGGAGGAAAAGTGTATTTTAACTTGTGATTTCAATGGTCTCAGTCCATGGTCAAAGGGCTRCATTGCTCTGGGGCCAAGGTGAGGCAGACCATCCTGGAAGAAGGGGATAGCAGACGAGAGATGCTCATGGTAACTGGGAAGCAGAAAGACAGACACAGGAAGGGGCCAGGGACAGATCACAGTCCCCAAAGCTATACCCCCAGTGACCTAGTCCTCCAGCCATATCCTACCTGCCTATAGTTTTCATCACCTTCCAGTAGTCTATTCAGATCGTTAGTCCATCAAACAGATTAACCTACAGATGAGGTTAGAGCCTTCATGCTCCTATCACCCACATTGCTGCTTTGGGGACCAAGTCTTCAGTATCATCTTTGCGGGGACTTCCAGATCCAAACTRTAACAACTCCGGAGTGGCTAAATAGTCAACATTTTCTTTGTGTGCTATCTTTTATGTGATTTCATCAACATTGTATGACTGTTATTTGATAAATAATTTCTTACCATACYGCCTTCATTGATGTTCCCTCCAATTCAATTTAATATTGAAGTGAGGTGAAGTTTTAAAAGACCTTATTTTTTGATAATTTCAGATTGGAATTAGTGATTCAAGAGTCTCCTAACCCTCCTTTCTTACAGCACATTTTGAAATATGCCTGTGTAATTCTATGTAGAAAGACAAATTAATATTGTCCGTAGGTAGGTTTATTCTGGGTGAGTTCTGCTGAGTGTTCAGAAATCCCTGACCTTGGCCCATCTAGTTTTTATCGGTTTCAGTGTAGTTTTTTAGTAGTTGTTCATTCCAGATGAAAAAATTCAAGTCATCTTTTTTCTATACTTTTTGCAAAGAATTTGTATGAGCAGTATATTACATATGTTATTTTAATCCTTTGATCCCTGAAAAATCTTGAAAACCAAGTGAAAAACTAAATTATTAAAGCAAATTATACTTCAGAGGACTAATAATTACACTGTCCTCTGGGGTGATCCTTATTTCTTATGTCTCCTGCTTCCTCTTCTCTCCCCTGTGGTTAGAATGTAAGTATCTTCAAAAGTGCCAAACAGGGCTCCCTCATTCCACATTCATTTCTCATTATTTAACTTCTGTGATTTTCGTGTAGGTCCCTCTATGTTGAGGGATTGAGCCCAGGGCCTCACACATGCTAGGCACACACACAACTACCAAGCTATAAC